CTGGGATCGAGTCCTGCATCGGGCTCCCTGCGAGGAGCCTGCTTCTCCCTCTGCCTGTGTCTCTGCTTCTCTCTGTGTCTCTCATGAATAAATAAATAAAATCTTTTAAAAAAATCATGAATGGATGTTGAATTTTATCATTTTTTTTTTCTCCTGCACTGGAGATATATTTCTCTTAATGTGATATGTCACATTGACAGATCTTCCTTTCTTTAAAAATTTTTTTAAGATTTTATTTTTATTTATTTTATTTGAGAGAGTGAGAGAGAAAGAAGGAAGAAGTAGACTCCTTCCTGCAGAGGAAGAAGTAGACTCTCTGCTGAGCGGGGTATCTGATGCCCCAAGACCTCAGGATCATGACCCAAGCCAAAGGCAGGTGCTTAACCCACTGAGCCACCTAGGTGCCCCTGTGATTGCTTTTCTAATGCTAAATAAATCCACCTGGAATTTCTGGGATAAACTCATCTAGATGCTGGTACATTTTCCTTTTATTTATGTATTATTTTTTTGAGTTTTTTTAAGATTTTATTTTTTATTCATAAGAAACACAGAGAGTGGCAGAGACACAGGCAGAGGGAGAAGCAGGCTCCATGAGGGGAAACCAATGCGGGACTCGATCCCGGGACCCCAGGATCACGCCCTGAGCCAAAGGTAGACGCTCAACCACTGAGCCACCCAGGTGCCTCACATTTTCCTTTTTTATATATTGTCACACTCTGCTGGCATTTTATGTAGGATTCTCATGTGTGTTTGTGGGTGAGACAGGCCCATAATTTTCTCTGCTTGTGTGGTCCTTGTCAACTAGCGCTGGCACAGGACCCGGGGCCCAGATTTTTCACCTACCCAGGGACCTGCCTGCAGCCTCCTCACAGAAACCGTGTGAGGGGCGCGCCCCCTGGCGGCTGTGGGGCGCAAGAGCCCGAGGAGCCGGGCGCGGTGAGCGGTGGCCGGGCTGCCGGAGGGCCAGGTGACACCAGGTGGTGCCAGGGCTCTGCAGGATGCTGGTTTTCATTCGGCCTGGTGACAAGAGCAGCTGAGCTTCAGGGAAAAGGTGACCAGGACCCAGAGTGAAGCAGCAGGCTCATAACTACATAGTTCTAACCCTTCTGAGCAGTAAAGTTCCTGAGTCTTTTTTTGAAATATATATGTCTTTTTTGAAGATTTTATTTATTTATTCATGAAAGACACAGAGAAGCAGAGATATAAGCAGAGGGAGGAGCAGGTTCCCTGTGGGGAGTCCGATGTGGGACTCGATCGAGCGATCCCAGGACCCCGGGATCATGCCCTGACCCAAAGGCAGACACTCAACCACTGAGCCACCCAGGCATCCCTAAAGTTCTTGAGTCTTAATTAATCTCTTTACCTGTAAGGTGGGGATAATCAATCTGCTTGTTAGGAAAAGAGGAGGAAGTTGACAAAGCATAGAATTTAGGCTTTCTAGAAAATAAGGAAGGTGTCCTCTCCTGGCCTCGGCATTCTTGTTTTCTTGCCTGTAAAGCACTTGATAAATGGCAGCTAGGGAGAAGGGAATTCAGGATTAATGATAATTATCCAGCATGAGAGTCTGCATCAGGGAGGTCTGTGTGAAGGAAGCACATTTGTTCATTTATCAATTTTAGTTTATTATTTAACCATTGTTCATTTATTCAACAAATATTTATTGGATCCTGGTAGGCACGATGTCTCCCCAAGAGATGCACATGTCCTAACCCCTGGAGCTTATAAGTAGTTTAGGTTACAAGGGAAAAGAGAAGTAAGATTGCAGGGGGAATGAAGATTGCTGATCGGTTGTCCTTAAGATAGGAAGACAATCCTGGATTATCTGAGTGGACTCAATGTGATCATAAGGGTTCTTTTTTTTTTTTTTTTTTTTAGGTTTTTAAAGTTTATTTATTCATGAGAGACACAGAGACACAGGAAGAGGGAGAAGGAGGCTCCTCAAGGGGAGCCCGATGCAGGACCCAGTCCCAGAACCCTGGGATCACAACCTGAGCCACCCAGATGCCTCGGTCACAAGGGCTCTTAGAAGTGAACGAGGAGCAGGAGAGTCAAAGATGCAAGATTGCTGCTTGATTTTAACCCGCTGAAGCTTGTGTGGCCTTCTGACCTCCAGAACTGTAAGATAATACACCTGCATGGGTTTAAGCAACCACGTTTGTGGTAATTTGTCACAACAGTAGGAAACGAATACAGCACTGTTCCAGGCACAGTAGCAGATGCTGGGGATTCTGCGGAATTCACGGAGCTCTAACAAAGTAGAGAGTGAGGAGCCGTCATGCTGAGAAGCTCTGTGCCCCGGGGTTGGAAAGGAAGTGACGTCTCACCTTATATGTGGAGGTTATATCCAATGAAGCAAGAGTAGAAAAGTGTTCCAATGCTGCAACAGCATTTTGGAAGGCCCAGGGGCAAGAGCAAGAGAGTGTGCACAGAATGTCAAAAGGCCCCAGCAAAGTGAGGAGAAATCAAACTGGAGATCAAAGGAATTCGGGTCAAAGGTCCAGTCCCAGAAAGCGTTTGCTTTATCTGAGGACAGTAGGGCTAGATTTGGAGAGGGGCCAAGTTATGACCAGATCTGCCTTCAGCCTGCAGTAGTGTGGAGAGTGATCCCTAGGTGGCTCTGGCCCATGTGAGAGCTGGTGGTAACCGGCCAGACTGGTGCCAGGGAGAAGAATATGGACAGACCAGAACTGACTGGAGAGAGATTCTGGAGGTAAGATCAATGGAGCTTGGTGATTGACCAGATGGGCTGTGAGGGAGAAGGAGACTTTGAGCTGCACCATCGCCCCTTCTTCCTGGCGTGGGCAAATCAGCGGATAGTGCCATTTCCTGAGATGGGAACATCGGTGGAGGCGCAGGCCTGAGGTGTGCCTGGAGCACATTCAAGCCGAGGTGACCACTGTGTCGGGAGTTGGGTGAAGGTCTGCTGGAGATTCAAGGTAGACTCTGGGTCCTTGCAGAGAGAAAAAGAGGTTTCTCAACCTCAGCACTACTGATTTCGAGTAGAGTCATTTTTTTTTAAAGATTTTATTTATTCATGAGAGACACAGAGAGAGAGAGAGAGGCAGAGACACAGGCAGAGGGAGAAGCAGGCTGCATGCAGGGAGCCTGATGCAGGACTCGATCCCAAGACTCCAGGATCACGTCCTAGGCTGAAGGCAGGTGCCAAACTGCTGAGCCACACATTCCCTTGCTAGTTCTTTGTCTTAAGGTAGGCCTGGAGGGTTATCCTCATCTGCAAGCTCTGAGCTGGGTCACAGGCCCAGCCGTGTTCCAAGCCTGGTGAAGGGAAAGGTGAGCACAGGTGAGGCAGGGGCCGGGTGTGGTCCTTGTGGTGTCCCCCCACTGTTGGCTCAGAAAGCCTGGTCACATGGCCACGCCTAATTGCAACAGAGGCCAGGCTGTGTAGTCTAGGTGTGTGCCCAGGAGGGAGGGAGTAGCAGATTTTGGTGGAAAGCTGGCCGCCTCCTAAATGATCCGAAACACATGGTAGGTGGTGGTTTTTGGAAGACATTCCCTGTGAAGGGAGGAGAGGTTGTGTGGAGATGTGGAGTCAGGAGGGAGCCCCATAGAGCAGGACACTGCACATGGTCCCAGATCGAATCTGTTCCCCAGTAGGGGGGAATGGACCCTGTCCTCAGGGCAGGGAAGGCATCTGGTCAACCTCCTGACTTCCCACCCGGGCTCCTTCCTCCTTGACATTGCCTCCCTCTTGTCCATCTGCCGCAGCCGGGACCCTGATACACATTTCTGCCTCACCCTGAAGCTGTTTCCTTGATTTTCCTTCTTAGCCAAGATGACTGGCAGCTCCTGGAGGTCAGGAGCACAGCATGATCCTCAGAGTCCTGATCACTGAACCCCACCCCCCTCCCCGGCCTTCTAACCGATGTTCAGGACAGACTCCAGTCACCCCTGCACGCTCCCTAATTGTTGTCCCTCAGGGCTACTGATCGGATTCCCCAGCCCCAACATGGGTCTGTACGTTGACCTCCACAGGCTTTTCAAAACTGTCCAGATTCCCCAATCACCGTCTTTCATAGTTTCATCATTATGTACCCCAACTGACCCCACCCTGAACCCCCGGCTTGGTTCCCCAAGGCTGACCAACCCTGAAGCCCGGCCCGGCACAAGGCCTGTCTGCACCCCTGTCCCTGCTCGCACCACTCTCTCTCACCTGCCCCCCCCCCCGACTAAGTGTCGGTGGGGTGGGTGTCCGTGGGTAAGACCATTAGGAGAGGCCATCAGCTGTGGTCGGCTGGTGTGGAGAGGAGCACAGGGTGGCATGAGTGGGAATGCCCATATGGCCCTGGATCAGTCACGGTCCTCACTGAGCCTCAGGTCCCCACTTTGCACAGTGGGGATTCTGACCTCACAGAGATGTTCCGGGGGGGGGGGCAGCAGTGGGAGAGGACTGGTGTGGAGGAAGGCTCTGGGATCCACCAAGCTCTGCCATGGGTGCTTTCCAGGTCCCCAGTGTGAACTGAGTCCTGGGGGAGGGGATCCCCCTGACGACTCACGACTCAGTCCAGCTCCTTCTGCGTTCACTTGGGGAGCGAATAATGGCGAGGACAACTCATGTACTGCACCCAACGGGTGACATCTGATTCGCCTGCCCCCGACACTCGCCTTGCTCCCTTGGCCGCGGGAACCTGGTGCAGGAGCTGGCAGTGGCAGGCCCTAGAGGGGGCCTTGGAGCTGGGCTTGCAGGGAAAACACATCCCGGGCCCCGCCGGCTTCCTTCCTAGCCGCACATTAGGGTCGCTTGAGGAACTTAAAAAGTACCTGGGACTCTGAGGACCCCCCAGAGCGATACAGTCAGAAATCGTGGAGATGGGGCCGGGACCCAGGACTTCTCCATCCCTACCCAGGTGAGTGCACAGCGCAGGCGGCTCCGAGCCGGTGGGAGAGAAGGCATCCGGGGCAGGGAAGATGCTCCGTCGGCACGGAAGGCGCCCGTGCCGCGTGGAGCCCCCCCCCCCCGCAGTCCGCCCCGCCCGCCGGCCTCAGGAGGTCCTGTGGCCCCGGGCACAGCTCAGCCCCGGGTCGTGCAGGGCCCTCCACATGAGCAGCATCTCGTAGGGCGCGAAGCGGTGCACGAGCAGCAGCTCGCGGTACAGGCAGGGGTCGAAGGAGGACTGCCGGGCGCCGGGCAGCTGCACGCCGTAGGGCCGGATGCCCTCGTGGCTGCTGGGCGCCAGGCCGCTGCGCTCCAGACACATGCCCATGTAGGCGTCGTCGATGGGGAAGAGCGGGGTGCGGCGGGCGGCGGCGCGCAGGAGCCCGACCGTGTGCCTGGACAGGAGGAAGCCGCCGCCGCTGCAGTACACCGGGTAGGCCCTCCCCGGGAACAGCTGCGGGGGCACGAAGTACTTGCTCCTGCTGTCGCGGATGGGCACCGAGCCGTCCATGAGCTGCCCCGCGAAGAGGTGCTGGTCGGGCCGCTGCGCCCCCAGGAAGCGCAGCACGTTGGCGGTGTGCACGAACACGTCGTCGTCGCAGCTGAGCAGGAAGCGCGCGTGCGGGCAGCGCTCCGCCAGCCAGTCGAGCAGGTGCACGTGCTTGAGCGTGAGGTTGAGGAAGGTGTCGGCGAAGGCCCACTGCAGCACGTCGCGGTGCTCGCGCGCCTCCAGCCCCACCAGCGCCGCCAGCCGCCCCGCGCGCTCGGCGTCCGCGTCCCCCGGCGCCGCGGTGCCCAGCAGGAAGAGGCGGCGCACCTGCTGCCCGCCGTAGCTGCGCTCCTGGCCCCAGGTGCGGCGGATGAGCTCGCGCCGCTCGTAGTTGGCGGGCGACGACTTGACGGCCAGCAGCAGGAAGGCCCCGCGGGAGCCCGCGCACTTGGCCGGCGCGTCCCAGAGCAGCGGGAAGTGGCGGCAGTGGCGGTACCGCAGGAAGTCCTGGATGCGCGCCGGCAGCCGCTCGAAGTCCGCCGTGGCGCGCACCGAGTCGTTGGCCACGCACGGGGCCCCTGCGCTCAGCGCCGCCGGCCGCGCCTCGGTGGAGCCGTCCCACGTCTCCTCCCGGGACCTGGAGGCTTGGAGGAACCAGGTGTGCAGGGCCAAGAAACTCACGCCCACCAGAAGGAGGGCCAGAGTCTTGGGGTTCAGGGACCTGCGGCAGGGGAAAGCCATCTGTGGGGGAAACCGAGTCAGAGGTGAACCAGGAGTCATGTTGGACATCAGCGGCCACATCAGGGCTCTCCCAGAACCAGGCCCTTCTCAACCTTGCTGTTCTAGGGCAAAAGGAAGCCACAATTCCAGACTACACGGAAGCATCTCGAGTCTTCCACAGTCTGGAGTCCTCTGACCGTCACGTATCTCCCCCGGAGGCCACCTAGGCCGAGCAGACTCAAAGTCAAAATCTTCATCTTCTGGTGAATTCACATCCTGCTCTTCCACCTCAGTAAATGGTGCCATTGCCTACCCTGTTGCTCCAACCAGAAGCCCCGACTCTCTCCACCCTTACTTATACCCACGACTCTCTCCATATCCTGGAGCTCCTGCATCCCAATCCCTCTGTGCACATTCCTTCTTTTCCATCCCTGTCAGCCCGGAGTCTATTTCCCGCCTTTCCACCCTAGTCAAGGAAGCATGAGGTGAAAGCACTGGACTCAGACCCAGGTCAGATTCTGGTGTCCCCACTTACACACATCCTCTTGAACAAGCCACTTCCCATCCCAAGGGCTGAATGTTCTAAGAAAGGGCTAATAGATTCCTACTTTGCAGGGTTGTTGGGAGCATGAAGTAGCCAGTCAATGAGTGGCACTGATGTTTTGACCTCTTCCACTTCCTCTGGCCCCACTTCTTTTGATTTTATTTATTTATTCACGAGAGAGGCAGAGAGACAGGCAGAGGGAGAAGCAGGCTCCCCATGGTGAGCCTGATGCGGGACTCTGGGATCACAGCCTGAGCTGAAGGCAGATGCTCAACCACTGAGTCACCCAGCTGCCCCTGGCCCCACTTCTTTATCTTCCCGCCTGGTATCATTTTCTGTTCCCCAAACATACCAGGTCAGGCCCTCTTTTCTATGTATCTAACTCCCCCACCTGCCCAGCTGCACTTAAGGCCCTGCTTTCTGAAGACCCCTCGCAAGTCAGACTCCAGATTACAATAACCTTTCCAGTACTTACTCCCTGCGAAATCCTATCACACTGAATCCTAAAGAACTGTCTTTCTTGAAACATACTTCTCTCTGTTTCAGAGCTGCCACTCTCTCCTTCTTTCCTCCTCCCTTTTTAACCATGTCTCTCATTTCTCTTTGCTCATTTCTACATCTTTCCACGTATAATGGCAGGAGGTCCCCAGGGCTCTGTCTGGATATCTCCTTTCCTGTAGGACCTCCAGGCTCTGGTCCCTGTGTCCCCCCTAGCAGCTCCATGTGGTGGCCCACAGCCACTCCGGGTGCAACCTTAACTCTCATCTTTGTCCCCAGAGTTGTCCCAGAGTGCCACCAACCACTGTGGTTTTTGTTCAAGCCCCAAACTGTGATCGACTCCCTCCTTGTCTTCATTCCCCCACCCAAGCCCGGATGATTTAGCCCCTAAATATTTCATCAACCTGTCTCCTTCCATTCCCACTTCCATTCCCTGTCTCATTCCATTCCAACCCAAACTAGCTTCTGCTGCTCAGATGACATAGTGACATAGCCTCCTGCTTGGTCTCTTCACATACTTCCTGGCTCTCGGTGGATCCCTCCTCCACAGTAGCTGGAGTACCTGTGAATCATGCAGATTTCACGTCACACCTTCCTACTATCAGCCACCTGCCCTGACCATCAGCCAAGTCACAGCCTTAGACTGGCAATATCTTTCTGCCTCGAGCTCCCCTGCCTCTACCTCTTTCGCCTACATTTTAATGCCTGCTTAGCCTCCTCATCCTCCACATCCATTGAATGGGTGTTTCCTTGCCTAGGCTTTAATGTAGCTCAAAGGAGACCATAACTTTTTGTTTTTGTTTTTGTTTTATTTTTTAAAGATTTTATTTATTTATTCATGAGAGACACAGAGAGAGGCAGAGACACAGGCAGGGGGAGAAGCAGGCTCCATGCAGGGAGCCCAATGTGGGACTCGATCCCATTACTCCAGGATCATGCCCTGGGCCAGAGGCAGGCATCAAACCGCTGAGCCACCCAGGGACCCCCTATTATTTGTTTTAAAGTGTATCTTCTTTCCTAGTCTGTAAGCACCTTGATGGGCAGGGATGGCATCTGTGTTGTTCACCACCAGTGTCCTGCACAGGGTGAGAGGTCAGATAACATAGTGGTAGAAAATGCTGTTGCCTGGGTTCAAATACTGCCTCTATTAGTTTCTATTTTTTTGTTTGATTTTGTTTACTTGAGAGAGAGTACACGTGGAGCACATGGGGGCACATGGGGGCGGGCAGAGGGGGAAGGGCAGAGAGAAAAGCAGACTTCCCACTGAGCAGGGACCCTGACCTGGGGCTTGATTCCAGGACTCTGGCATCACAACCTGAGCCGAAGGCAGACAATCAACTGAGCCACCCAGGCGCCCCTGCCTCTACTAGTTTCTAATTGCATGTTCTGAGCAAGTTAATTTAAGTCGTCTAATATCTACCCTCTAAGAGTTATGGTGATGAGTAAATGATAATGTATGTAAAGAATTTAGCATGGTACTTGGCACATAATAGGTATTCAGTAAATATTACCTATTGTGATTATCAGAGGTGCCAATATTTCCAGGTTGAGTCATTTCCATATAGTGGATGTTACTGTGTTGGATTGTGCTCTAGTGCTTGTGTATCATAGGCCATGCACCACGTCTAGGACAAGATGGGGACAAAGCAGGTGTTCAGTGAAATAATGGCATTGCCAATAACTACCCCAAAAAGTGAGAGAGCCTTGCAAAAGCATTGGTGCAATCACTGAATCTCATTAGAAATACTAGAGGTAGGCTCCTGTAGCCCTCACTGTATTCCTGCTTCAGTGTTTGATACGCCGACAGGAGAGTGAGATGATCTAAATCTAATTTATCATCGCTATAGGCTCAGTGGCTTGTCCTGTGCCTGGCCTGTTTGTGGCAGGCAACATTTTTTTTTTTTCAGTGAATATAAGACTAAAGAATGAATGAGAGTAGAATGTGGAGTCTTAGTAACTGGGCAGGAGTCTCAGCTGCTTTCAGTAGCTGTGCGACTTTGTGTCAAGTCATTAATCTGGGCCTGAGTTTCCTCAAATGAAAAATGGAGATGGTTAACACTCATCCCTTAGTGAAATAAGGAGCAAGAAGATAATTTTGTTAATGCCAGAGTGCCATACAAATGCTAGTTTTAAAAAAAATGGAAAAGTATGCTCTATCTTCCTTCTCCCCTCCCAGAATCATTTCTAGAAAGATAAATAACCTCAGTCTTAATGCAACAGTAATTCTTGTCTCAAGGAAACTTGCATTTACTTTGATAAAGCTGATCCAGGGAGCTGAATCATAGCCACTTTATGATCTGAGCAAGGGGAAGGTTGGGCCTTGTCCTATTTCTGAGGGCGGCACTGGTATGTAGAACTCTGGTTTTGGATGCTGACACTGCGGAGCTTTGGGTATCCTCCCTGGTTCTTTTTGCTGGATTTCCCCCTTTCTCAATGTACTCTTTTAGGTCCTCACACCTTAGGCTTTCACAGCCTCTGCTGGTCCTGATCCCTTGTTCCTTAGGACTCAGCTCAAGTACCACCTCCTGCAGGAAACCTGGTACAATGAGCTCAGTTGAACATGTGTCCTTGTTATCATGGTTGCTGAGTAGCCAAGCTGGTAAGAGGACAGACCTGCCACTTAGGAAACCTTTTCAAACCTCACGTTCCTCATTTGTGGGAATATGGGCAGGTCGTTTACCTACATGCCTTTGAGGATGATTGGAGTTGATTTGTGTAAGGCACTTTGACCCATGCGTGGGCTGCAGTAAGCGGGTACTATGATAGCGTTAGCAACTAACAGGAATGTTTGTGGGGCAAAGGAGGATTATATAAAGTTCCTTTATGATCCTGTCACTACTCTTCTTTCTCCATTTATTGCTCCACATATATGTTTGCTTTTCTTTGCAATGCTATTCACTCTGCCTGGGATTTTCTTCCTTATGTTCCTAGGAACAGGGGAAGTTTCAGGATGCCTGTGTGGCTCGGCAGTTGAACATCTGTCTGCCTTTCTGCCATCAGCTCAGGGCATGATCCCGGGGGATCGAGTCCCACATCGGGCTCCCTGTGAGGAGCCTGCTTCTTCCTCTGCCTATGTCTCTGCCTCTCTCTCTCTGTCTCTCATGAATAAATAATTGAACAAATAAATATTTAAAAAAAAGGAACAGAAGAAGTTTCTGTTGGTTATTCCCTCCTCTGGTTTCATGCCAGGATGGATGAACAGAACACGGCTTCCTGGGTCATCCACCAGCCCCCTACCATCCTAAGGTATTCCTGGGGAATAATGCACAGTGGATATGGCAGGCAAACAAGTCTTTTATTACTTTTGGTCCCAACTCCGAGCATGGAGCCCTAACCTAGAAGCTTTGTCCTGGTTCCTTTCCCTCCCTGTCCTCCCTCTGGTTCTTGCTTCACCCTCTAGGAAGAGGTGATGGGAAGCAGCCCAAGCCCCCGTCTTACCTTGAGTGTCTTAACAGAGAAGAAACAGATGGGAGCCGTCTCCAGACTGGGACCTATCTTTAACCCTCTGCTTTCACAAGCTGAAGGCCCACCTCCAAGCCTGGGCGTGGTTCCATATATTTGAATCTGACTAATCCTTGACATCTGACGTCCTCCTTGGAGGGAGGGTGAAGTGTGGACAGCTACAGGCTTCCTTCCTACCATAAACACTTATGCTTTGTGAGGAAGGTAATGCCATCTCTTCAAGTTTTGTTGACTCTACCCACAACTGCTGTATTCTCTCCAGTGGTACGCCCAACTGAACATTTGAATGCTGTACTGTCATCATCAGTTTTACCTGCTAGACTGAGAGCCTGGGGCCTATTAACTAACACAGGATATATGCTCTGAAATCTTTGTTGAGTAAATTGTATGTAAACTGTTCATATGGGCATATTTTCTAAGCTCATTAATGACATCCAAACATACTGTGTGTGGCAAATGATCATGGGCTTCGTCCCATTATCAATGGGGGTGGTCAGGAGAGAGCTCGGTCTCCGTCCTCAGGAACTCATGATTTTTTTTAAAAAAATATTTTATTTATTTATTCATGAGAGAGAGAGAGAGAGAGAGAGAGAGAGAGGCAGAGACACAGGCAGAGGGAGAAGCAGGCTCCATACAAGGAGCCTGATGTGGGACTCGATCTCGGGTCTCCAGGATCACACCCTGGCCTGCAGGCAGCGCTAAACCGCTGTGCCACTGGGGCTGCCCTGGGAACTCATGATTTCTTGGGAGATCCAGATAGTGAAAGATTATAAAAGAGGTGAGATGCAGAGGGAGAATTTGAAGAAGGAACCTGGGCGAGCCAAGGAAGACTTCACATTAGAACTGGGTTATACCAGTTATCTAGTGCTGCACCGCAGACCATCACCAAACATAATGGCTCAAGACAACCAGCATTTATTATTTTTCGAGATTCTGTGGGTGGCCTGGGAGGCTCTTGTGCCTGACACACCTGGGATCTCTCATGGGGATCTGTTCAGTTAATGGGTCAGCTGGGGCCAGCTGGGCCTTATGCTCTCTGTGCTCCTTTATCCTGGGCTGCCTCATGGCACGGTGGTCTCGAGGTTCCAAGATGTGGAGGGCTGGCCTTCAGAAGTTGCCTCATATCACTTTTACCACATTCTGTTAGTCAAAGTAAGTCATAAGAGCAGCCCAGATAGAGGATGAGAAGGACTCCAAGAATTGATGGTCATATTTAACCTATCACATGGGTTTTGAGATATAAGGAGTTTTGCCAGCAGGCAAGGAGAGGGTACCCTGGGCAAAGCTACAGAGGTGGGAATAAACAGGAGATATCTGGGAAACATTCCAAGTTTCATGTGGTTGGAGGGATAAACATTGGGAGTTGAAAATACAAAGGTAGATTAGAAGTACACCGAGAAGGGCTTTGAATGCCATACCTGGAGTTTGAACTTGGTCCTCTGAAAGTTTTGACAAGTATCTGTTTTCAAGAGTTCATTATAGCAGCCCATATGGTGGTTGCTGGAGAGGCCAAGACGGAAGTCAGGGACCCCAGGGGATGGCGATCCATGGGAGCGAGGTGTGACCCAGCCTAAACTGGGCAGGGGCTGTCAGAATGGCTTTAGAGATTGGTGATTTACTGGATATTCTGTGAGAGTGTTCACCTCTCAGGCTCCTTGTCCTTCTTTTTTTTTTAAGAGATTTTATTATTTATTTATGAGACACACACACACACACACACAGAGAGAGAGAGAGAGAGAGAAAGAGAGAGGCAGAGACATAGGCAAAGGGAGAAGCAGGCTTCATGCAGGGAGCCCGATGTGGGACTTGATCTTGGGATTCCATGATCACGCCCTGAGCCAAAGGCAGGCATTCAACCACTGAGCCACCCAGGCTCCTTGTCCTTCTTGCTAATTTAGAGGGTTCTGGGTCTGGGGGAGTGGCTGGATGAGAGAGGAGAGTGAAGGATGAGGAAGGGGGGTAAGTGAGTCGTGGGAGGAAGGAGGGAAAGGGGCATGAGTATAGGTTCAGTGGGGGATGGTAAGAGATAGCTGGAGGATTAAGGAAGCCCAGCCTTCCTGGAAACTCTCTGGCAGGTGAAGGCTGGAAGAGAATGGGAGCACCAATTAAATCAGGCTTACAAAGGTAAGAGTACAGCCCCAGGGAGGGACCTACCTGGATTTTTTTTCCCAGACTGTGACTTCCTGTTCCACTCATGGCTGAGGATCCAAGGCCTGGCACAGAGCAGATAACCATCCAGAAGGGCAGAATGACATAACGTTTTTTAAAAATATATATTTATTTATTCATGAAAGACACACAGAGAGAAGGAGAGACACAGGCAGAGAGAAGCAGGCTCCATACAGGGAGCCCGATGCAGGACTGACTGGATCCCAGTTCTCCAGGATCACACCCTGGGCTGAAGGCAGACGCTTAACTGCTGAGCCACCCAGACGTCCCTGACATAGCATCGTTAATTCATTTTCTTTAAGCCCTCTAAAAACGCATCTTTTTTCCTTAGCAGAAATGTCTTTGGGGAAGGTTAGGGATGAATTGAAGTGGGGAGAAAGTTTTCTTTTCTTTCTTTTTTTTTTTTAAAGGTTTTATTTATTCATGAGAAACACAGAGAGGCAGAGACACAGGCAGAGGGAGAAGCGGGATCCCTCTGGGGAACCCGACAGGGGACTCGATCCCAGGACCCCAGGATCATGCCCTGAGTTGAAGGCCGACGCTCAACTGCTGAGCCACTCAGGTGCCCCTGAAGTGGGGAGAAAGTTAAATGGGGGTAAGTTTATTGGAGTAAAATGAACAGACTTTGGGACAGGAAACTGACCTCTCTAGGACGGTTCTGGAGTGGCCAGGGAGGAACCTAGTGAGATGTGTGTAGTGGATATGCGTGGCAGGGTGACTTCACAAATGTGTGTACTGTTCAGAGGTGGAGTTATAACAATCATAACTTCTTTCCAGTCCTCCTCTTTACAATGGGTGGGTGTTTAGATCTAGTGTAAAAAGTCTTGGTCCAGTGGTTCAGCCACACCCTAGTCTCGAAAAACTGGAGTGGGATAAGGAAGGGTAACCAGTTCCCACCTCCAAGACAAACAAACAGCTTTGGTGAGCACAAGCTGGCACTTGATGACCAGGAAGGGTAGGAAAGTTGGATGGTCCCTTGTTCAGGTCAAACTTATAACTGGGAGAGGATCCAGAAGAGAAGTTGATTCCTCAGGGTTGTCCACAAGTTTTGAGGTACCCTTGGCAGGCCCAAGCCAGGCATTCTTACAGGAAGGATCCTATTCAGAAAACCCACTGTAATTAGTTTCATGCTAACCATGGTGCAAACCCTTTAGACAGTCCTTCATTTTACAGATCTAGAATCCAACATTTCTAGTTAAGTGACTTGGCTACAGTCAGATACCTTTCAGTGGGGGGCCAAGATCCTAAGGCAGGTCGTTAGACACCAACAAGGACATGAAGTATGTGATGTATCAGAACTTATTGCCAATGGGCTACCGTTGGAGTCTGCTGCCTCAGTGCAGTGTTGGGTCAGGGCCACTGTGTTCCACCCCACATGCCACGTGGAGCATGGTCCTAGTCTTGCTGGTAGCCACAGCTGCGCCAGCCCAGCCTCTGGCATACACAGACCCTGAGGAACTGGAACTCGGGCTCTCACTCCCAGATTCCTTTCCAAGTGAGTGGTGATTCTCTTTGGTTGGAGGGGTCCCTGTCTTTCTTTTCTTTCTTCTTTCTTTCTTTCTTTCTTTCTTTCTTTCTTTCTTTCTTTCTTTCTTCTTTCTTTTCTTCTTTCTTTTTCTTTCTATCTTCTTTCTTTTTTTCTTTCTCTTTCTTTCCTTCTTTTTTTCTTTCTTTCTCCTTCCTTCCTCCTTTTCTTTCTTTCTTTTCTTTTTTGTCCCTGTCTTTCATAATTCCTCTACCTAATCGTGAAATGGTTTGGTTTATAGGACTCAGTCTGAGACTCTCTTCTTTCCTTCCATGATCCCCTCCATTCCCATGGCTTAAATATCATGTGTGCTTTTGATATTCAGAGTTCTGTCTTCAGCCCAGATCGCTTAGCTGAGTTCCAGATCCACAGTATTTTACTACCTTTAAGCTCTCCACCAGGATTTTATCTCATACAGACTTCACAATCGATGAATCTCAAACTTACTTGGGAACTCACCCCAAATCTACTGCTTCCCATATAACTCAGATATATTTGACCTTCTAGCTGGTATCCCTGTACCCACACTGGCCCCTGTTAGTCCATTCTCCACCCTTTCAGGAGCTTTCCAAATTCAGGTACTCAACAAGGCTTTGAAAGCCCCGTGTGACTTAATTCCTGCTCATCTCTCCAGACACTCACTTCTTGGTCTCTGCTGTAACCAGCCTTTCTTTTCCTAACTTTCACCGTTCAGTTTTTTTTTCCATTCATTTATTCATGAGAGACACAGAGAGAGGCAGAGACATAAGCAGAGGAAGAAGTAGGCTCCCCGTGGGGAACCCAATTTGGGACTCGACCCCTGGACTCCAAGATCACGACCTGAGCCAAAGGCAGGTGCTCAACCACTGAGCCACCCAAGCTCCCCCCATTCAGTTAACATAAGATTCCTCTTCAGAGAAGCATTCTCTTCTCCAGTTCCCTAGTATGCATTCCCTTAGCTCTCTGTTCCCTCCCTCCATGACACCCCAAATATAACTGGGACAGTTACTTATTGGGCACTAGAGCCTCAGTGCCTAGGATAGGATGTCTTGTTCTTAATGTGCTCCTGGCATCTAACATGGACACAGGATTCCAGAGCTTGCTGAGTGGATGGCACAGTGCCATATAGTTCCCACATAGCAAGGCTCGAGAAAGGAATCTTCTTTTTTTAGTGCTTTCTCCACATTTGAGAATCAGTCCTATTTGGGGACTAGGGCCTGCCTACTAAGTGAGACAGGTCCTGCTTTCTCTAACACCTAAGTAGACCTATTCACTACCTAAGTAGACCTATTCACTATTGTAGTCCAGGACTAAAGCAAGGAAAAAAAAAAGCTGGGGTGGGACTGGGTTGGGGGGAACCCCACCCCAGGCTTGCTAGAGCTAGGCCAGTCAGCTCAATAAAAAGGTGAATGCCTGTGTATAGGAGGTATGTGTTGCAGGGTTGCTTTAGAGACATGAACTATTCTGAGGTGGAATTAAAGCAATCTCAACCCCCCCCCCCTTTTTTTGACAGGAAGCAGGATTTATTGGTGGGCATGAATAGGGTTCAGGTGGTGCAAGGTTCTCATGAGTGGAGAGCCCTCCATTTGTCCAAGGGGCCACGATTAGGGATGTATTTGACCCCACAGCCATCTGGGATGAGCCGCTTTTCGGCCACCATATCTTCAAATTCGTCCGCATTAAACTTAGTAAAGCCCCACTTCTTGGAGATGTGGATCTTCTGGCGGCCAGGGAACTTGAACTTGGCCCTGCGTAGGGCCTCAATCACATGCTCCTTGTTCTGCAGCTTGGTACGGATGGACATGATGACTTGGCCAATGTGGACCCTGGTTACTGTGCCCTGGGGCTTCCCAAAGGCACCTCGCATACCTGTCTGCAGCCTGTCAGCTCCAGCACAGGACAACATCTTGTTGATACGGATAACATGGAAGGGATGGAGCCGCACTCGGATGTGAAAACCATCTTTGCCACAGCTTTTCACCATGTACTTGTTGGCACAAATACGGGCAGCCTCCAGGGCTTCAGAGGAGAGCTGCTCATACTCATCTGACACCATGTGGCCACATAATGGGAACTCATCCACTTTTGCCTTCTTCCGCCCCAGATCAAAGATGCGAATCTTGGCATCAGGGACACCTCTGCAGAAGCGAGACTTTGGACACGGCTTGTTCTTACAGTACCAGTAACACCGGGCGGGGCAGCGACCCATGGCGACACCAGATCTTCAGTGGCGCGCCGAAGAAAAAAGAGAATCTCAACCCCTTTTCAGTCATTACTCTAACAAAGCAGAGTCCAAATCGCTTTGCAAATTCACTTATATTTCTTGGCAGCTTCTGTTGATTCAGGAAAGGCTGCCTCTTCCTGACACACAAAAGAACTAGTTGACGTAGCTACCATATGGTCAGCAGATTCAAACTATGCATTCCAACGGGTTTGGCCAGCAAAACTAATATTTGAAAAGCTGTGTTTTGGATCACTGAATGAGAAGTGGGAAATTCTAGTTATGTTTTACATCTTACAGATGGCACTTTGGCCATTGCCAGAGACGGAAATCATAAACATACAATGGCTCACGCAGTATGATCTTCCTGTTTCTAATTTGTTCCCCTTTGTTGTGTGAAGCTGTAGGGTTCATGTGTTTACTCCAGAGCTCCTGAAGTTGAGAATGTTGTGTATTTATAGACCATAAATATTTAATTGAAAAGTTCCTAGCTTTTGCTTTGCAAATTACCCAAGCTTGGAGTAGAAAGTACTGCAGTATAGTTCAAAACTCTGATAAAGATCCTTCCCATGAACAGGATCGCTGCTGGCCTGTACAGACCCTTTCACCTGGAACTGGAAAAAGGTGTCCCAAGATGCAACCCCACCAAGGCACATACCTTGACAAGCTGAGCACAGGTTAGATTTGGGCCTCCACTAACCCCTCTCCTTCAAGTGGGTGCCTTGTGCAGGGTACAACTAAATATGGTGGTCTTACCTTTATAAAAATCTACATATTAATATAAACCAGGGATAAAACAATACCAGAAGCCTTAGTTCAAAATTGTCATTTTTAATACTTTTACCTAGAGAGAGGTAATTAATGAAATATAGCCTAGATTATAGCAGATTAGATAAAAATACATAATTCTACTATCTTCTAGAAAAATGATTGTGACATTGGCAAATCAAATGGGAAAAGTGAATAAGCAGATCTGAGATCACCTGAAAATTGTTAGTTCCTTGTAAAGATTCACACAACCTATGTTTATTAAATAATTGCTAGAACGGACATTTGCACCAAAATGAGACTAGGAACGTTTATATTAACTTGAACAGTTTATCCGTTGGTCACACTAACGACTCAGAGATATTAAATATGTGGAAATGCTGGGTAGTAGACAATGCCTGATCAATAAACAGAAATTGATAATATCTATTTATTAAAAGATTCACTTATTAATTGGTATTAAATAATTTAGCTCTAAAAAGAAAAGCCAAAAAGAAACAAGGACTAATTGTGGAAGTGACTTTGACCTTTTCCTTTTAATAAGTTAAAAGAAAAAAAAATACCCATGACTGTGATAGCTTATTAGTTCCTTGACAACTGCCACATGACACATTTTACATGGCATAAGGAAAGATGGTCAAAAGATCTCAACTTTTTGGAAGTCAACTTAAAAACTAATGCAACTAGCATTTTTGGGCTTTACAATATGAAATGGAATTCCTTTCATAATGGGAACAAAATCATGTATTCAAAGGTTTAGGCACTTTGCAGCAGGCCATTGATGATTTAGTAAAACTGGTATGAAGAAATAATTCTATAAATATTTAAACCCAAATCACATTCAACAAAGAAGTGAGAGGTCTTAAATATATAAAATATTTTCATTCTAATGAATACACACTGGAATCATCTTGCAGAGAAGTGCAGTGGAAAGTACTATTCTGTACTTCCATTATGGAGTTCATTTGCTGATGGCCTAAAGAAGAGGAAGCAAACTCCCAGAACCAGAGAGTAAATATTTGAGGCATTGCAGGCCATGTACATCTCTGTTGCATATTCTTCTTTTCTTTTTGTATGTTTAAACAACACTTTTAAGGTGTAAAAAAATTGTTCTTACCTTGCAAGTCTTACAACTGCAGACTGGATTGGTTTCTGAGCTGTAGTTTGCCAACCTCTGGTCTAGAGCCATTTGATATCATAAAACATTGTTACCATTTTCTTTTAGGTGCAGATGATCTCAGAATGGGTATTTATAGTGAACTATATTTATGTGCTTAAAGATTTCCCTAATAAATGTGCTCTGCTCCAATTTTAGTTACTTCTCCAAACTCAATGTAAAAGTGATATTCTGCAAATAACATTGCCAGCAGTTTCAAATAAAGCTTCTTTTATGACAATTTTGTGAATAAATTACCAGTGACTAAATCGAGTTCAAGTATCAACATTGTATTCTTTAAAGCAATGAAGCAGGTCTTGTTAAGAAGGGTTGAAAAGGAGTTGTGAGCAAAGTGTGACCTACGGTTGGTGCTCTAATATTGACAGCTGCTGAGCTAAACAGTGAGGCAATTTTAGGTCACCTGCAGGCCTGTGATCAATTTTTTGTTTTCAGGGTCCACTAGTAGGATATTTCTTAAAAAAATATTTATTCATGAGACACACACACACACACACACACACACACACACACACAGGGAGAAGCAGGCTCCCTGTGGGGAGCCTGATGTAGGACTTGATCCCAGGACACTGGGATCACCACCTGAGTCAAAGGCAGACACTTAACCACTGAGCCACCCAGGTGCCCTTAGTAGGAAATATTCTTGTGATCATTTTCTACACTGGCTGCCAACCAGAACAGGTTAAAATCTGCTGGATTTAAGAATAGATGAAGGTCTTGTAAAACAATACTGGCTACTGAAAGTAAATTAAAATGAGGATTAGTACTGCTTATTGCAAATGGCCAAGTGTGCATCTGTTACAACAGAAGTTCTGTAACGAAAAATATTGCTTACATTCTTTAGTGCTGAGTCTTCTTCTTAACTGCTCTGATTACCAATCAGGGAAAGAACTGTTACTTGGTGAAGCTTGCTATCCCTTATACATTTTCCACTTTTCCCTCAATGATGTCAAGGTTTTATTATCCAACATCAAAGTTTACGGGCAGTTGTTTGTATCTGTCTCTAGGTCATTTCCAAATAAAATAAAATGCTGAAACGTTAATTACTAAACATAAGTTTATCTACTTTTGACTAAAGATATTTGGGCCTGTTAATAAAAATGTTCTTTTTCACCATATTAAGAAATTGTACTATAAAGAAACACAAGCCTTTGGAAATTGAAGTGGTACATTCATAAATGTGCTAATCTACAGAATGCTGATCGGTGGCAGTTCACAACTGATGACTTTCTCATTTTCACTGGAAATTAAGGTTACTAAGGGCTAAGAATGCTAATCAATACATGTAAGTGAAAAACACTAGAAACAATAAAGAAGGGAAGCAATCTCAAAATGTCTAAAAGGAATGAAAGATGTGTTTTTGTTAAGGATAAGAGGAGAGCAATTTTGTCCCCGAGTAGTGGCACAGAGATAGTTTAAAGGCTGTTCCAGAATGAAGAGGAAAGGACAAAATCTCACATGGGCACAGAAAGTTGTAAAGGGTCTGCAGAAGGGGACAAAGGGGGGCCAAAGGGGAGAAAAAGAGGGGAATATCTTATTCAAGTGGGCAAATTGGCTAAGATTGAATGTATTTATAATATTTTTTTTTTTAAGAAATGAGTTCAATAGTATATGGATGCAAAACTAGATGTTGAAATTCCCTATTAAAAGGACACAGTTTCTTGGATTTTTGGAAATTTGTCAATGTCATAGCTAGCGATGGTAGATATCCTGGAAGAATGTGATCAATCGTAACTCCAGTTATCTTAAAATGCTGAATGTCACTAAATTTCCTTGTCAACTGCAATATAAAGAACTCTCATCAAATCTTTAACCATGGCCATTTAAAGCCTTTCGTCACTCACTGATACGGTTTTACTCTGTTTTCCTGAAAACCCTTGTAACCAGCTATAGGTTTTTTTAATCTTCAACAAAAAAAGGACTGTCTCAGGGACCCATGGTAGACTACAGCAGGTACTCCGGGGTATAGGCTTCTGATGTCACTGTTTAGGTAATTTTTTTTTTGTTTTGTTTTACAATGGCAAATTTCATTAAAATTAAAAAAATAGATCAAAATAACCCTTCCTGCCTCTTCAGCTGTCATTGACAACAAGATTTGGAGTCTCTGGTACTGGTAGTCTCTTCCAGGCTCCCCTGAAGCCTCCCCTCCCTGCCTCCAATCTTGTCAAGTTCCCTGAGAGCTCTACAGGCCAGACCATTGTTTAAGTAATTTTAAGATCATAGTCTTGGACTAATGATTTCTAGAACAAATAGAAAAGCTCATAGGTTCATAAAGTCCCAAATCAAGAAAGACCTGAATTTATCACAGGGGTGAGTAGATGGATAAAGAATGATTATGATTTCTCTATGTCGTTTGCTCAGAATATTGATGCTTCTTTAATATTTCATTTTCTGGGTTTAAGAAATCCCCTTTCTCTTAAGCTATCTATAACTTGTAGCAATTTAGTAGATTAGGTCTTTGTAAACAAAAATGAAACATTTATCTTTTCTGATCTGTCCAAAATTTGGAAACCCTTCCTGAATGTTATTTTCATGGCAATATAATTGAGTAAAGTTCAGTAAGAGTTTGTTTTTCTTATAACAGGACACAATTAGAAACACTGGTTATATTAGGCTTTGACTGGCATGTGTGCACAGAATCAGAGATGACCAGTTTTAAGAAACTAAGGTGGACTTTAAGGAGCCAGGGCTTACAAACCTGCCTGGCACCTGCCTTTTAGGATTCCCAAACTTATAGGTGAGTAAGGAAGGCTACCTCTCTTGGCAGGCCCAGAAAACATAGGACCCTGAGAAGAAGGGATTCATCCAAATCTGTGGGTACTGTAAGTGAATTCTGATGCAAGTTCTCCTAGCCTTGAGGCTTTTAAATGTCCAATCTGAGATTCCTAATTAAAGTTCCAGCAAAACAAACTTAAAAAGGCCTATGTTGTCAATTACCATTCTTGCTATATTTACATAATCAGGCCAAGTTTGATGAGACTAGACTTGTTTCAATGGATAACTGTAACCCACCATTGTAGAATATCAGATTCTAGCCTTCTAGCCAGTTTTTGAGCTATTTTCACCTCTTTGTAAATTGAATCCTGCCGCCTTGGGCGTTTTGTCAGTAATTAACTTTTCCAATTTTCTTCTACCTTCCTGCTTTAGCACCACTAAGACCTAAAACTGTCTGTTTCCTAAAGCCTTGCAAGCTGAAGTGACTTTAAGGCTTTATCCCAACAGTTTGGGCCACTCAGGAAGTTCACCAGACATTGTCCTCTGAGCTCTGAGAAATGCCCATGACTGTGAGACTGCCACTATCATTGTGACTGCCATTTAAAGACATTTCAAGGGATGGTTCGGTGGCTCAGTGGTTGAGTGCCTCCCTTCGGCCCAGAGCGTGATTCTGGAGTCCTGGGATCGAGTCTCACATCGGGCTCCCTATATGGAGCCTGCTTCTCCCTCTGCCTTGTGTCTCTGTCTCTCTCTGTGTCTCTCATGAATAAATAAAATCTTAAAAAAAAAAAGATTTTTTTAAATTTATTCATGAGAGACACAGAGACATAGGCAGAGGAAGAAGCAGGCTCCATGCAGGGAACCCGATGTGGGACTCGATCCCGGGGCTCCAGGATCATGCCCTGGGCCGAAGGCAGTTGCTTAACTGCTAAGCCACCCAGGCGTCCTAATAAAATTTTTTTAAAAAAAAAGAAAAAAAAAAAGACATTTCAAGACCAACATCTAGAAATCACATGAACTGATGGCTCTCTGGACTCAAGAAACTGAGTTTATAATCCACTCCAACTACTAATTGTTTTTCCTTTTCTTTCTCCATAAATCTGTGTCTTCCTTCCTTTTGCAGATCTCTTAGCTCCCATTCTAATCTGAATCTTTTCTCAACAGCCATCATCTCAGTTTCTGCTCCTTGAAACATCTTGGGAAGTTTTAGATGGGGGAAATAAAGGGTCCAGAATACACTACTGTGGCATAACAATTACTTTGAGCTAAAGGCATTTGAGAATCAACTGGATGCAGGAAGAGGCTTTTTTCTCCCCCAACTCTCTTTATCTGCCTAAAATTAGAACCTCCCTCAAAGAACTAAACTGTTCTAAAAAAAAAAAAAAAACTAAACTGTTCTAAATCCTCTCCCTGGGACTTTTTGTGCCCCAACTAAGCAGACATTGTCACAAAACTATCATATCTCCTTTCTTTCTCCTAAGGGCCCATTTATCCTTTCTGAAAGTCATTTGGGGGATCCCTGGGTGGCTCAGCGGTTTAGCGCCTGCCTTTGGCCCAGGGCGCGATCCTGGAGTCCCGGGATCGAGTCCCACATCGGGCTCCTGGTGTGGAGTCTGCTTCTCCCTCGGCCTGTGTCTCTGCCTCTCTCTCTCTCTATGTCTATCATGAATGAATAAATAAAATCTTAAAAAAAATTAAAAATTAAAAATTGAAAGTCATTTGTTTTCTCCTAAGTGCTCTTTCTCCCCTCCCCTTCCCTTAATAAGATGGTATATGAGCCCCAAATTCTGCCTCATTGAGTCACGCTTTTCTCTGAATTCTTGTGTACAGATGTGAATAAAACTCTACATTTTCTCTAGCTTCTGTCTGTTTAATTCACAGGCCCCTAACTACTGAACCTAAGAGGGTAGAGGAGAGGTTTTTTCCTCCCAACACAAGAAACTGTTAAGTAGCATGCTCACATGAACCTCAGCAAACTGGCAACTTCTCCTCAGATATTTAAAAGTTTCCTTTTTCTTAAAGGGAGTCCAACAGTTTAAAAAACAGGATTGAAGTTTTCCATTCAGGTGGGTCATGACTTTGTTTTTTTTTCTATTTTACAGGCCCTTCTACAAAGGGGTTTAACTTTTAGCCAAAAATTTTACTCCTTATTTCCAAATGTTTACAGCATAGTGAATAGCTGTAATTTTAGACATTGAAAAACAAGACAAAGTCATCAAACTAATTATATTATGGCACTGATAAGATGCAAAATATAAGAGGTAGATCTGCAAATTGCCACACACTTGCGAATTCCAATTATAACTGATTCTCTTTGAAACACCAGTTTTATATAAATTCTTATCTAGCACATCATAAGCCATGGGGTTAGAAGAATTTCTTGTAAATGTGGAACTGAGAGTTAAAACTGTTCAACTTAGCAACAAATTATTTTTTTTTAAGAGCAAAGTAATATGGAAACCATTGGATTCATAAGAAAACCTTAAACTAAATTATTATACTTTAAGGGGCACTGGCTAAATTCTGAAGGAGTTGGCATTAAAACAATTTAGTTTTGGGGTGCATGGCTGACTCAGTTAGTAGAGCATGGGACTCCTGATCTCAAGGCTTTAAGTCTGAGCCCTACATTGGGTATAGACATTACTTAAAAATACAATCTTTAAAAAAAATAGAACTTAAGTTTTTTTCAGGCATTTAAAGATGTTCATGCATTGTGTAGCTGAAGTTTTTGGTCTGTTGATTTTGACTCCTGCTTCCTTCTCCTTAGTATAAGAAAAACCTTAGTGTAAAGAAAGCCTAGTTTAACAGTCCTGGAAATTGTGCATTTAGGGTACACCAAAATATTTTATCTAATTCTGCTAAACCAAATATCACTATTTGGGGTTCTCATTTGTAAATTATCCAAAAATGAATGTTTCTCATCAATTTATCACCAATCATCAATTTATACAGTATCGCAAAGAGAAAAGAGATCAATTCAGGTGTTGGCAACATTTCATGAAAGCACCAAGGTGGGGAGGTGTGGGTGGAGTGACCAATCAGATCAGTATAACCACCTGTCATATAGTTTTTCCCTAAAAAAAAAATTGCTTTCAATTTTCTGGAGTGAAAATGGCAGGATATTAAGATGTGCAAGCAAACTGCTCCTTTCATATCTTCTAAGATACTGGTATTTTCTGAAATGTAATTTGCTATAGGGCTCACAGAGGAGCACCTTTCACATCAGATAATATGTAAACAAACTACCATTTACTCAGCAGCAAACAGGTTTTTTGTATACTCTAGTTCAGGAAGTTTGCCAAGAACATAAAGAGAAGGGGGAGGTAGTAATCCAACCCTATAATGCCCACCCAGAATCCTAGAAGGGAAAAATAAAGGCATTGAAATAAAGTCGATTTAGTGATATCCTGAAGGTCAGCAGTATTTCCATAATTCTCACTATGGCACAGAAACAGTCTTGAATGTGTGAATACTTAGGCTGCTAGAAAGAGAACCATATGTGAGGCACACACTAATTTGGAGAGTTAGAGTCTGGATTCAGTCTCTGCTTTCTGTTCAACACTTCTAAAATGCCTTTTGCTTTCATGCTGCTGTTTTCATAGCAGAAACAAGGATCTCTGAAGAACTGGCTGCAGCGTTATAAGTCATCCAGCGATGCCCATACTTCTCCACTGAGGTGTTGGGCAACTTTCTTCAACAAGTGACTGACTGCATAGAGTGGTGGCTGAATTGTTCATTCAGCAAACTGCTGGAAAGGACCCCAGTGTCAGAGGAGGGGGAGGCTCTCCACACCTTATCTGACTGTGATACACAGAAACTCAGTTTCACCACACCTAGATGCACTGTCAAGAAGGCTGTGCCTTTGTTGCCATATACAGATTCTGTACACAGGAGTGTATTTTGAGTGAAAAGTACACAAAGACAATGGTGTGAAACAAATGAACTTATTAAAAAAATGTAAGATGGCTGATATTGTCGGTAGCTGCACATGAAATGTAGCCACAAGTCAGAATCTCATGGCAAAGAACAATCTTACGGGCTGTGTGTTGGAACGGCTTAGTTTTAGATTTTCTTAAGGCACAACCAAAGTTCTTTAGATTTGTTTTGGCAAGTGTTTTTCTTACTGGAGGATCATAAAAGTAGGCAGAAGTATCTGCCTAATGGCATGTTGGCATGCTAAGGTAAGGAAAAATGGTACCTGGACTAAAACTAAGGCTACTAGGTGAAGAAAAACAATAAAATTTGTATTGGTTTTAGATTTGTACCAAGGTGACTTACTAGATACTGGAGAAACGACAGGAGTGTTTTATACTTTTGCATAAGAAAAAAAAATGACTTTTTTTTTTACTTTTTTTTATCACCATGTGGTAAAAACAATCTGGATTTTATAATGCAAGAACAGGAAAAAGTTGCAACAATGCTAACTGGTAAGGAGCTACAAATATGGTGATATATCAGTAAACAGGACAAATCCGGTTTTTACTCCAGACAGGTGTTATCTTTGTGAAAAGTGATTCAATTTGTTATACATTCAAACCCAAATTAGAACTAGCTGCCTTACAATGATATTTCACTGCCATTTCTCACACTTTAATTTTGGGGAATTCTGTTATAAGTTCAAGTAAGTTAGAGTAAGTTGTTCCCAACTCTTTATGTCCTTCAAAAAATGAAGGGGCAGATATTCTAATAAGCTTTAGGTAAAAAGGATCCTGATCATTTTAGCTCTAGTTAACTTGACACATTTCCCTGGGCATAACCATAGCCTCTGAAAACTGCCTCTCTGAAAACTGGAAAATATGGTATAATTTAAAAAGTCAGAGTGTAATAACATTCACTGGTAACTTCAAATAAGTTACGCTAAGAGGATGGAATATGGGTAGGCCAGACCACCAATCATGTTTGCCTAGCCAAGAAACCAGTGACAACTTAAAAATCTGCGAAGATCAAAGAAAACTAAGAAACCACCTTTAACTGGCTAGAGGTATAACATTCTGCAGATGTCCTCATGGTCTCATAAATATTACAAGGTGATCCACCCACTCTGATTGGCTGTGGCTGCACACAGACACCCCAGAGCCCACTGCAAATCTGGGATATGGCAAGTGTGGAACCTAGTAGCAGATTGGAGCTTGCTTATGACCTGCTAACTAGCACAAAGACAGACAGTGAAGAACTACCAGAATTCCACAGATAGCTCTTTTTCACCTTGGAAAACCATTCATGAGGTTAGTATGACAAGAATATAAATCAAGGCTGACAGGGCTAAGTGCTGCCCCACAGCTGGCCATCTGGATATGGGGTTTTGCCAATACTTAGCTGACTGTTCTGATTATTTAATCAAATATTAAGCAAAGTATAATTCACATGCAACCCTTATCAAAAAAGGGAAAAAGGTTAATTTCCTATGATCCACACAAACTGTTAACCTGTTAGGAAAAGCCTCATTTTTCCAGCATTCAAGTATATACACACACATCATGTCTGTTTCTTTTTAAACATCTTAGGGTAAGGGTGAGGAGGAGGAGGACAAATGAGATAAAGACAACAAGCCCCATTCCTTATTCTCTGTGCAACTGGCAGAATTAGTCAGAAAGTCACTCCTTTGCTCTGATGGTCATGATATATTTGAATGTGTGGATCTTTAAGGATTTCCTCATTCATTTGGCCAGGCCTATGGTAGGTGTTTTTTGTTTTCTTGGTGAAATAATTCATCAGTGCTTCCTGAGAGGCTCAAACAGGATCACTGGCCAGATTCCGAAGAGAAACTGTTTGGAAACAAGTTAGGACAAAAAGAAAGAAGGTAACTGCTGCATGCTATTACAGATATCCATGTATGGATCATGGAAAAAGAATCCATAAGCTAGGTGTACTAACAACAGTCCTGGTATTAGTAGCCTGAGTATGGCACAGTCTTTCCAGACTTTAATCAAATCTCAGAAATGATTTTTATTTAATTTATTTAAATGGAATAAGCTTCCTTTTTTGTCAGGCATGGAGCTGGGCATTTACATCACCTCAGATCCTTAAAATAACTCAGGAACATAGCTATTAACAGCTCCATTTTATTGCTGAAAAAACTAAAGCTTAAAGAGAACAGACTTGCCCAAGGTCACAGAACAGGATGTGGAAGACCTAGGATTCACAAGCATCTGGTTCCAAAGCTTGTGCTCTTTCTACTACCCTTCCACCCCATCCACTTCTTCCACCTCTGGTCTATCCTCCCAATACCGTGCCTCCCTCAACATATCCATCAATGCACGCGTGCATACACGCAAGCACACCCACCCCTAGGAAGGGAACTTACCTTTACTTTTGGCCTGTATCTCAGGTAAAGAGTTCTTGTATATAAACTGAAAGAAAAGGGGACAGGGAAAGCTCTTCAGATTAATTTTTAATTCAAACAGACTGATTTACTGACATTTAACCATAATACCTCTATATATACAGAGAAAAAGCAACACTAGTAGATTCTTTGTTCATTTAGCAACCATTTTTTAAGCCATTACTCTATGCAGAACACTTGGCAAGATGCTAAGGAGGACAGAAATGAATACTCTCAGGCTGTGACCTTGGGATGATTGTAGTTTAGTAGGGAGCACTCCACTCATGCTTAATGATTCATATCATAGTTGCAGTTTCATTTTTGAAGATTTATGGTAGAGTATTCTTAGAATATTTTGGAAGTGGTTATATCAGTTCTACGAGGATTACAATACAGGTATGAGATAATCAGGAAGGTAAGGAAAATCTTCCTTACATTAGCCTTTAGAATAAGTAACCTATGAAGACCAGACTGGAGCCCGGGTGGCTCAGCGATTTAGTGCCGCCTTCAGCCCAGGGAGTGATCCTGGAGACCCAGGATCGAGTCCCACATTAGGCTCCCTGCATGGAGCCTGCTTCGCCCTCTGCCTGTGTCTCTGCCTCTCTCACTCTCTCTCTCTCTCTCTCTCTCTCTGCCTCTCATGAATAAATAAATAAAATCTCGGGGCAGCCTGGGTGGCTCAGGGGTTTAGCGCTGCCTTCAGCCCAGGGTGTGATCCTGGAGACCCGGGATCAAGTCCCATATCGTGCTCCCTGCATGGAGCCTGCTTCTGCCTGTGTCTGTGCCTCTCTCTCTCTCTCATGAATAAATAAAATCTTAAAACAAACAAACAAATAAATAAATAAATAAATAAATAAATAAATAAATAAAATCTTTAAAAAAAATAAATAAATCCATGCATATGGCAAGTAAAAACTTGGCTCAAGATTGTTACACAGTTATAAAGTGATGGAGCAAAGCTCCAAGCTCAGATATTTTTGCTTCACTGTGTTAACTCTTTGTTTGAAACAAACATTTGTACAGTATTTAAGTCTTAAAGGGGACATGTGTTATTTTATTAAATTCTCTAATCATCCCTCTGAAATATTATTTGCATGCTTCATTCAGTGAGATACTCAAAGAATCAAAATTTCCATAACTGAAGCTTAAATATCCAAGCTTCTTTTATTTTTAGTTTTTTAGGATGAAATGTGTTTAAAACATATTCTATCTTCCCTGCCTTCTTAAGAAAATCAGAATAATTTTAACATTAATAGAAAACAAAAAAAAAACCTACCACCAAATACAAATGCTTCATTTTTTTCTGTATTTACTTTAGCCATTGTCCCCATACAAATTAGTTTTTACAGTGTTAATAATTACCTGTGTATGATTTTCATCTGTTTCACTTAAAAATCCTAATAATCCAAAACCTTTCTATATAGCTATAAAATTTTCACATTTATAAATGGCTGAATAAAAGGTATACTATAATTTACTTTATAATTCTACCCTCTTGGGCAGTTTATTTTTCTTCTATTATTATTGTTGCTATGCTAATTAAGTAACACTGTAATAAAAATATTTGAGTTTACACACGGATTTTCATTTTTCTGGTTACTTCTTTAGGATAAATCCAAGGAATATAATAACTGGGATAAAAATATAAATATTTTATTTTCACAAACACATTTGGTATTGAATTCTTTCCAAATGAGTTACATCAATTTACACTGACAAGTAATGTGTGATCATACTATTTCACTGCAACTAAAGAATATAGAAGGAAATTTCAAAATACTATAAAGCTCATTTAATGGATATAAAAAAATCTCAATTGTTTCATTTTATTTATTTATTTATTATTTTTTTAAAAATATTTTATTTATTTATTCATGAGAGACAACAGAGAGAGAGGCAGAGACACAGGCAGAGGGAGAAGCAGGCTCCATGCAGAGAGCCTGACATGGGACTTGATCCCGGGTCTCCAGGATCTCCAGGTCTCCTGAACTGAAGGCGGCGCTAAACCGCTGAGCCACCCGGGCTGCCTTCAATTGTTTTATTTAAACATTTTTAAAAAATAAGTAGTATAATCATCTGGTAAAAATTTGAAGAGTATGAAAGAGTACACAGGAAAAAAGTCTGTCTCCTACCTGGTACCTTCAGCCCAGAGGTAACTGCTGGTACTTACCAGTTACCATATACCCTTACAAAGACAATTATGTATTCATGAGTATTAATTACTCATTTAGCCCCGTTTTTCACAAAAATGGATATCCTACGGTTTTAGTATATGTGCTGCTGAAGCGAGCACTTATCCTACGGTTTTAGAAGGCATTCTGATTACGAGTTAGATGATCAGTTTTCTATTTGCTTATTTGCACTAAATATCTCAACCCCCACCCCCACCCCTGCCACCATCGGGAGGCTTGACCTTCTCTTCTCCTTTCTTTATATTTTTTTTTAAGATTTATTTATTTATTTGTTTATGATAGACATAGAGAGAGAGAGGGAGGCAGAGACATAGGAGGAGGGAGAAGCAGGCTCCATGCCGGCAGCCCGATGTGGGACTCGATCCCGGGACTCCAGGATCACACCCTGGGCCAAAGGCAGGTGCTAAACCCCTGAGCCACCCGGGATCCCCCTTCTTTATGTTTTTAATATAAAAAAAGTTTCAAACTTATAGGAAAGTTGCAAGATTGGTATGAATTCTTGTATTCTTGTCTCCTAGATGCTAAATTGTTATCATTTAAATATGTTTTTTTTAAAGATTTACTTTTTTAAAAAAGATTTATTCATTCATTCATTCATTCATAAGAGACACAGAGAGAGAGAGGCAGAGACATAGGCAGAGGGAGAAGGAAGCTCCATGCAGGCAGTCCGATATGGGGCTGATCCTGGGACTCCAGGATTTAGAATCCATGCTCTAAGCTGAAGGCAGACGCTTAACTGCTAAGTCACGTAGGCTTAGCACTAATACCTTTTTAAAAAAAGATATTTATTTATTTATGTATTTATTTATTTGAGTTTACTTCTTCAGTGTGACCCATTTCTGACTTCTGGCTATCTCTTCCATCTACCCTGTCACATCTCTTTCTTTAATCGCTCTGCTTCCTTGCAGTGCACAGCAGCCACTTTCTCACTACCACCAGATTTTCTTGGAAGCTCAGCATCCTGCTACCACTGAGCTCCTTTCTTTATTCCTCACTGAATGCTGTCACTTTGGCACAGCACTTCTTCCCCCTCATTACCCTCTTCCCTGAAGGCTTTCCATATCAGCAGGAGAGAAGGAGAAGGTGAAAGGGAAATGTAAAGTGGAAGGTGAAAAAGGAAAGGGGAAAGTGGGAACCCTAGTCTTTTAAAATAGAATATGATGAGTATGCTTTCACCTCTTCTTATTCATTATTGAAATTTACTACTGTATTGTATTACACTTCAGTAATGTTCTCAGGACTACTTGGGCACTGTTAAGGTACTAGGTTTGTAATTTTCAGACTCATTTTACAGCCATTCTTGTTTCTCCTTTCCTGTCATTTGTTAATTTCCTCAAACATTTCCTATCCCTTCCCTTTTATTTTTTTTAAAGATTTTATTTATTTATTCATGAGAGAGAGGGGGGAGGGGAAAGGCAGAGACACAGGCAGAGGGAGAAGCAGGCTCCAAGCAGGGAGCCCAATGTGGGACTCGATCCCCAGACCCGGAATCACGTCCTGAGCTGAAGGCAGATGCTCAACTGCTGAGCCACCCAGGCATCCTTGGAGGTATTATTTGAATAATGTGATCACAGATGATTCTAATTTCATTTTTGTTGTAAATGACTGACCTCTAACAGAGACAGACTTCAACAGACTCTTTAGCAGGGAAACTGGGGACTTCTGATACTCATGCTTTCCCAGTCTGCTACTCAGAGGATCTGTTTTCCCCCCTCTGAATTTGTTCTCTATAAACAAAGATATGTTGATAAACACGAAATGGAAATGTTTATATCCTACTTGCTCTAAAAAGGAGATGAACAACTATTTAAAATGTAGATCATATGTCAGTTAGTACAACTAATTCATGTTAGAAAACTAAGCTTCAGAGAGGGTAGGGACTTACTTAAGGTCACCTAGTGGCAGAGGCAAAGCTAAAGCATTAAATCCTGATTTTGTCTCTGGCATTTTATATTTACACCATCCTATTTGAAGGGTAAAGGAAAAAAATACTTCAATACCATGCTAAAAAAGTCTCTAATTCCTACCTGAAAAGGATGTGAAGATATGAACCAAGGCCAGTTAAAATATGCCACCATGCATGAAATTGTGTGGCAACACCTATGATAGGTGGCATCTTCTTTCGAAAGTTCCTGTGTGAAGAGGGAGAAAGAAATCACCAGGTTATTATCAGTTTTTTAATATTTAGCAACTAATGCTGACAAGCCTTTGAAGTGTTACTCTCAGACATGGAAATTATTTAATTTCCTTAAGTCTGCTGTAGTCTGCATACTGTTTTCCAAAGTGTATTCTGAGGAACAGTGTTCCTAGCAGAAGTTTCATGAAGAAATGACCCCGTGTTCAAAAAAATAGGAAATAGTAATAGTTTATTGCCCTCTTGCAGACTGCAATGTCTATTAACAGAATGAAGGCTGTGAGAAGTCCTATCATAACTACAAGAGTTATTTTCATTTTTTTCAGGTAATGTACTAATGCACAAAACCCTTCCTTCAAGTAGTATCTTAAGAACACTTTATGGAACAAGTGTTCCCTAGAATACAATTTGGGAAACATTGGTCTACTTAGCTATTCACTCAAGAAACCAGACACATGCTTTTCCTTGCCCTACATACAACCATCATCTTCGATAAGCACCATACAGTCTACAAAGTACTTTTGTAAATCTTATTTCACTTCATAGTGAGTCTTTGAGGTAGCTATTATTAGCTTTGCTTTACAGATGAGGAACCTAAAATTCGGAGACCAAGTTGCCCAAGTCACTTAGCTAAGTGGCACAGCTGAGTCTCAAATTCTATATTTTTTTATTGTGTACCATATTTTTTTTTAATTTTTTTTTTATTTATTTATGATAGTCACAGAGAGAGAAAGAGAGAGAGGCAGAGACATAGGCAGAGGGAGAAGCAGGCTCCATGCACTGGGAGCCCGATGTGGGATTCGATCCCGGGTCTCCAGGATCGCGCCCTGGGCCAAAGGCAGGCGCCAAACCGCTGCGCCACCTAGGGATCCCCTATTGTGTACCATATTAATATTCTCATTTATTAGAAGAGAAAATAAATCAATGTAAAACTATTTTTCTAGATATCCCATAAATTTTTGAGACAATTACCATCTCTAAGAATCTACTTTATTTCTTAGTGGCTCTCATTCAGAGGATGATGACTTATCTCAGCAATGTAAATGCTCTCTCCAATGGGGCTTGTGATTGGTAATACTGATTCAGAACCATTTACTGAAAATTCAGATTTTTTTTTTTAAGATTTTATTTAGTTATTCATAAGAGACACAGAGAGAGAGAGAGAGGCAGAGACACAGGCAGAGGGAGAAGCAGGCTCCATGCAGGGAGCCCGACATGGGACTCAATCCCAGGTCTCCAGGATCAGGCTCTGGGCTAAACCGCTGAGCCACCCGGGCTGCTGGAGAATTTAGATTTCTAAGCAAGATACATTACTTGTCTGTCCGTGTACATTTAAAATACACATTTACTTATTTAATTTTTTATTACAGAAAATTTCAAACGTGTGCAAAGTGGGCAAAATAATAATGTACCCATTATCCAGCTTAACAATTATAACTTACAGCCAATCATCTAAACTCTCATGTACTTCTCCCCTTCCATATTTTGAAATAAATCCCAGATATTGTAGCATTTTTAATTCTAAATATTTCAACATGTGTCTCTAAAAGTTTAAAACCTCTTTAAAGGGGTGCCTGGGTGGTACAGTTGAGCAACCAATTTGGTTTCTGCTCAGGTCATGCTCTCGGGGTCATGATCTCAGGGTCACAAGATCAAACCCCAAGCTGGGCTCTGGGCTCAGCATAAGTCTGCTTGAGATTCTCGCTCCCTTTCCCTCTGCCCATCTTGTTTGTGTGCTCTCTCTAATAAATAAATCTTTAAAAAAAACCCCAACTCTTTAAAATATAACCATACCATTTTCACATATAAAAGATTAACGATAATCCCTTAATATCACCAAATATTCAATTACTGATCAAAATTTTAATTAATTGTCTCATAAGTTTAAAAGATTTTTGCAGTTTGTTTGCTTGAATCAGAATTTAAAAAAAATCAACACATTGCATTTGGTTGATACTATGTATCTGTTAAGTCTCTAATTTTTTAAAAATATTTTATTTATTGAGAGAGAGTATGCCCACAGGGGGAGGGAGGGGCAGAGGGAGAGGGAGTGATAAAATCCTAAGCAGACTCAGAGCTTGACTTGGGGCTCTATCTCACCACCCAGCAATCATGACCTGAGCCCAAATCAAGAGTCAGGCACTTAACTGACTGAGCCACCTAGGCGCCCCTTAAGTCTTTTTTAATCTATACATTCCTGTTCCGTGTTTTATCCCCTCTGCAATTTATGCTGAAGAGACCAGGTCATTCATTCATCTTGTAGATTTCCCACAGTCTAAATTTTGCTGATTGCCTCTCTCTAGTGCTTTTCTGTTTATACAAAACTTTATAGAGCATAGAATTTTGAGTTGGAAGGACCCACTAGTTTAATCTCTTTAACATGTTCACGTAATGGAAATTGAGGTCCAAAAAGATATTTATCTTTGTGACAGACTAAAGTCCAGAGACCCAAATTCAAACTCTAGTCAATACATAATTGCTGACAGATGGTAAAAGGAACATATGTCTTTCTTAGAAAATAACATTAAGTATATTAAAGTACAAAATTAGGGCAGCCTGGGTGGCTCAGCGGTTTAGCACCTGCCTTTGGCCCAGGGCGTAATCCTGGGGAAGTGGGATTGAGTCCCATATCAGGCTCCCTGCATGGAGCCTGCTTCTCCCTCTCCCTGTGTCTCTGCCTCTCTCTCTCTGTGTCTCTCATGAATGAATAAATATGATCTTTAAAAAAAAAAGTACAAAATTATAAATTATATACATGTATCTCACATGCTTCTTATAAATCATTTCTTCAACACAGCAGATTAGGCAGCTTTCAGATGCCTAACTAGTATCTGATCAACTCTACAAATCCCTACAAATACTACAAAATAGTCTTTGGTCCAAATTTTTAGGTTAATTAAACAAGTATTCTCAGAATTTAACTTTATTGTGCTGTACATACTTTTTTAACTTCAACAATGGCAAAAATTCACATCATGGCACTACTAATTCTATATGCTTATGAAATTCTCTGCTATATAGATTGCTTCCAAAAATATTTCTCAAAGATTGAAAATAAATCTTACCTCAGTGAATCACAAAAAATGTTATCTATGTTCCATAATAGAAATCCCAATAAAAATATACCCAAGGATGTATAACCAAGTCCTCTGAGCCATGGATAAACCCTGTGGGAAAAAAAGGGAAAGCAAAATGAAATTTTGTTAAGTCAAGTCATGATGAGAGCTTGAAGCTATTGCTTTCATGAGAAGGAAAGGTTTTCGTTAGTATTAAAAGCAAACCTATTTATTAAATTCTCAAAAAAAATCTCTAATACATTTGCCTATTACATTTAGCCATTAAAAATGAGAAAGAATATGCCATTAAGACTTTGGTAAGTGTTTTAAGAAAGTAATCTGAAGGTCCTCAAGAACTTTATCAGTTCTCTGGAAGAGGGAGGGGAGTGCTGGAATGGAATTAACATTGACTGAGTCACCTGCTCTGTGTTAGGCAGGCACCACAGTCAATTAGATACACAAGCAAATGAATAAAATCTTCAAATAAACTCTAAATAATACCTATTATTCTTTGCACTTCACTAATGAGAAAAATGAAGCTTGGTGAGTTACTCAAAAGAAGAACATTAGCTTATATATTCTTATAGCTTCAATGTATCATTGCCTTACATTAAACTGGATATATTTCAAGTGTATATATCTGATCAGTACATTTGTATATATCCATGAAACACTACAATCAAGATAATAAACATATCCATCATCTCCAAAAGCTTAGTTTGCATTTTTTAGAATGTTATATAAATGGAGTAACACAACATATCTTCTTCATGGTATGGCTTCCTTCACTTGGCATAATTATTTTAAAATTCATCCATGTTGTTATGTGTACTGATACTTCATTTCCTTTAATTGCTGAGTAGTATTCCATTATATGGATATATCACAATTTGTTTATCTGTCCAAATGTTGGTAGATATTTGTTGTTTCCAGATTTTTTTATAACAAATAAAACACCTATGAACACTGATACGATTATGAGGGGTAGGGGAATGAAGGGCAGAGGGAGAGGGAGAAGCAGGCTCCCCAATGAGCAGGGAGCCCAACTTGGGGCTTGATCCTAGGACCTGGAGATCATGACCTGAGCCAAAGATGCTTAACCAATGGAGCCACCCAGGTACCCCTCTATGAGTGTTTTTTGTTTTATATCCTCACCAACACTTGGTATAACATAGGTTTTTGTTTTGTTTTCATTTTAGTTGTTCCTCATGTTAGTGATCTCATTGTGGTTTTAATATGCATTTCTCTAATGACTAATGTTATCTTCTCATGTGCTATTTGCCATCCATGTACCTTCTTTGATACAGTGTTTGTTCACTCTTTGCCTGTTTAAAAAGGTTGTTTGCCTTCTTATTAAGTTGTAACAGTTCTTTACATATTCTAAACATTAATTTTTTAAGATGTTATTTTATCTATTCATGAGAGACACAGAGAGAGAAGTAGACACATAGGCAGAGGGAGAAGCAGACTTCCTATGGGGAACCTGATGAGAGACTTGATCCCAGGACCCCAAGATTACAATCTGGGCCAAAGGCAGACGCTCAACCACTGACACACCCAGGTGCTCCTTTCCTAAACATTTAAGTCCTTTGCTGGATATATACTTGTATTTTCTCCAAGCCTGTGATTTGGCTTTCACTTTAACAATGTCTTTTGAAGAATAAAAATTTGTTATTTTGATAAAGTTTAATTTATCAATTTTTCACTATAGTTTGTATTTTTTGTATCCTATTTAATAACTTTGCCTAACCGAAGGCTGCAAAGACTTCTATAGTTTCCTCTAAAAGTTTTATAATTTTAGCTTTTATATTTAGGGATGGTTCAATTCTCATAATCTTTGTAATGACATTAAATTTTATAATGGCATGAGTTTAAGTTCATTTTATTTTTTTCAAAGATTTTATTTATTTTTCATGAGAGACAAAGAGGCAGACACAGGCAGAGGGAGAAGCAGACTCTCCGCAGGAGCCCAATGTGGGGTTCGATCCCAGATCCCAGGATCACGACCTGAGTCAAAGGCAGATGCTCAACCACTGAGCCACCCAGGCGTCCCTTAAGTTCATTTTATTTTTATTTAGTTTTTTAAAAAAGATTTTATTTATTCATGAGAGACACACACAGAGAGAGGCAGACACACAGGTAGAGGGAGAAGCAGGCTCCATGCAGGATGCCCTATGTGGGACTCAATCCCAGGTCTCCAGGATCATGCCCTGGGCTGAAGGTGGCGTTAAACTGCTGAGCCACTTGGGCTGCCCTGTTAAGTTCATTTTAAAAATAAGAATATCGAGTTGTTTCAGCATAATTTACTGAAAAGAATATCCTTTCCCCCACAAAATTACCTTTGAAAATGTTTACTTAACATCAGGTCAGTATGGATGAGTGGTCTACTTTTGGATGTTTTATTGATCTATAATTCACTCTTACCACTAATACCACATTGTCTTGATTAGTGTAGCACAGAGCATATCAAGGAGTGTAAGTCCTCTAACTTTGTCATTTTTTTTTAAAGATTTATTTATTTGAGATAGGGAGAGAAGGAGGGAGAGAGAAAGAGAAAAAGAGAGAGCAAGCATGCATGCACACATGAGCTGGGGAGAGGGGCAGACGGAGAGGGAGAAGCAGGCTCCCCACTGAGCAGGAGCCTGATGCCCAAGACCCAGGATCATGACCTAAGCCAAAGGCAGACACCTAACTGACTGAGCCACCCATATGCCCCCATCATTCTTTTTAAAAACTGTTTTAGTTCTTCTGGATCCTTTGCATTCCCCTGTAAATTTCAGAATCAGTTTCTCAATTTTTACCAAAAAATCTGCAGAGATTTTGAGTGTGATTGAGTTAAACATACATATAGGTCAGTTGGGGAGAACTGACATCTTAACAATATTGAGTTTTCTAATCCACGAAAATGGTACATCTATCCATTGATTTAGGTCTTCTTTGATTTCTCTCAGCAAAACAACTGTCCATCATAGTTTCCCAAATGCAGGTCTTACACACAGTTGCTAAATGTAATCCTTAATCTGATGTTTTTTGGTGCTCCTAGAAATTGTACTTTTGAAATTTAAATTGTTCACTGCTAATGTACAGAAATATGATTTCTGAATTTCACCTGAATTTCATGAACTTGCTGAATTCCAACTTCCTGCTTCTAGTGGTTTTTTGGTACATGTCCTATGACGTTTTACGTATATGTGATTTGCAAATACTATAATGGATATGCCTTCAACTAGTATAATCTTGAATAGAAATGATGATAATATATATTTTTGTTTTATTCATTTTAAAGATAATTTTTTAAGCATTTCATGACTACGTGTGTTAAATACTGTAGAGTTTACAGGTTAAAAAGTTCCCTTTTATTACTAATTTGCAAAGCGTTTTATTTTGTTTTTAGTTTATAAATAGCTGTTGAATTTTATAGAATGCTTTTTCTAAATCTACTATCTTCATGTACTTTTTCTCCTTTATTTTTTAATACGGTGAATGACAAGAATGAATTTTCTCAAATATTTTAACTATAAATATTTCTATATACATGAATGAAAAAGACAATCTAAAAACCATCAGGAAAGCACAAACCTGGCTGTGTGTGGAAAAAGCATTACTGCCACTGTTTGATGAAGGTTCTCAGAGAAGATTAGCTTACGAGAGTCATAGTCTGTCTTCAGCTTTTCGGAGCTTATCATAACCCCACTTAGGAGAGGCAAGAATGAGTTCCAGGAAACACAGGGCTCAATACAGTGAAGTCATCTGGCAAGGTTGTAGGGTGGGCCAGATGCTGAGAAGTGACAGAAGATGATGAGTGGGGGTAGGGTACTCTCTATTTTCTGCTTCTAAACTTACTTACCAGGGCCAATCTTCAGCTCTCAGCAGTTCAAAGCAAAATTCTTCTGTAGGGTGAAATGAATGTCTTTGGTTATCCAGGCAGCAGGGTACACAGAAGAGAGCAAGAATTTTATCAGCAAATGGTCCCTACAAGCTAAGTACAGACAAGACTCTGGGGGCAGACTAGACTACGCGTTATTATCAGTTATGTGAATGTATAATACAGAAGACCTTCAACATATCTGTGTTGGAAGTCACATTGCTTCATTCTGGACTGCTTTCCTGAGTAGTGCATAGCTATCATCTGAGAAATCCCTGCCCTTCCTCTTCACCTTGAGAACTGTCTTCACCTCTTTCGACGCTGGATTTCCTCATGTCTTCTCTTTTTTAAGTTTACTCTCTCATTATGATCAAATACATCCCTCAGTAGGTTTCTGAATAATAGTTCATGGGCTATAAGTTTTTGTGAGAACTCAAATATATGAGTTGGCAGTTTGGCTAGCTATAGGATTCTAGATTAAAATTCTGTAATTCTAGCTGCCACAGTTTTGTTTTGATAAGCCTCAAACCTGATCCTTTGTATGTATATCTGCCTTCTAATTCTACAAACTTATGGAATCCTCCTTGTCAAGAATTCTGAAACTGGCATGGGTCTATTTCTACCCATTGTGTTGAATAGCCAGTGGGTTCTTTCAATGTAATAGTTTTTGTCTTTCAATTATAGGGTATTTTCTTAAATAATTTTGATAATGATTCCTTCCCTTCCATTTTATCTGCATTGTCCCCTCCCCTTTTTTTATGTTGGTTCTTGTATCTGGCCCAGTAATATTTCTATTGAATCTCTTCTCCATTTCTTTTGTAATACCCTGATGGCATCCAGGGATGTGTGTGTGTGTGTGTGTGTGTGTGTGTGTGTGTGCCTGTCTGTCTTTGCTTCTGCCTTTTCTGCTGTGAAGCCCAGAGACTTCTCCGTAGCAGTGGTGATGAGTGGTCCCAAGGGTCCTGAGGCCTTGTGCTGTCTTGTTTACTCTGGACCATACCATGGATTTAGTGCCTTTTCTGCGCTGTGGTAGACTCTTACTGGTGGATGGGGGATGATGGACCATAAATGCAATCTCAATGTGTGTTCAGAAGAAGGAATTTCAGTGGCTTCTTTAACTGTACATTTCAAATCCTTCACTTCAGTTTTTCATTTTATCATATCTTTAGTACTTTTGGTGGGGGGAAGGGATTCTCTAAACATTCTTTTTTTATTGCATCATACTCTTGATTCATAGATGTAGTAT